TTCTTTACATCGCATGCTTGACAAAGGTGTCTAATTAGGTTTTTAGAACGTTTTACAATTGCCGAATAATTTAGAGCCTGATTGTTCGTTGCGTTAGCGCTTAGTAATATCAGTCTGCAAGGTGCATGCGTTCCGCACAAAGAAAATCACATATGTTTCTATGCTATTAAAGAGATATCATATAGAGTCCATAACATGTTGCAATGGATGCGGACATTTTGTTCATTTCATGTGAAGCAGTGGTAAACGGCCACGTACGATGCTATGTGAATTGACAATTCGCGGTCTTACAAAGACCGATAATTATAAACTTTTTTAAAAACCTTATTATAATCCTTCCTTAAGCATAAAATATAAAGAAGACGTGATTCTCTATTGAGTGACTAAAAGAAAGCATATTTTTATTTATGGTTCCTATAAAATATATTTGGATGTGCTAGACCATCGAAAATCAATGGGAAAAATGCATGCTACATAAGTAGTCATTTTTTACCGGGTACGATCTTTACAAGAGATTGAAGAGAAGTGCATTTAAAAGCCGACATCCTGCCGAGTCCGAAATGTCATATGATTATGCTGCAAGATAATCAGTACTTGCCACTGGGATAAGGGCGCTATACCGGCGTGTTGAGACGCACTGCAGTGAAATGGAAGACAAGGTTGCTGAATTACAATATCTTCGACGGGTAATAAGAGCCAATGGCTACCCGCGCAACTTTGTCAACCAGTGCATACGAAAAGGACACTAGAGACCAAATCTAACTAGCCCCAAATTTTGGCGGGCTCTTCCGTACGTGAAGAACTTCTCGGAAGCCGTCAGTCGTCTTCTCACTCCACTTGGAGTTGGGGTTGCACACAGGCCGGAAGCAACCATTAGACGCCAAGTAATGAGGCCAAAAGACCCGCTGCCACGGCAGGAAACGTCTGGAGTCGTTTACCGGATTTGGTGTAGTTGCGGACGAAGCAATTATGTCGGAGAAACTGGGAGATTACTCCGTACGCGACTTGCCGAGCACGCAGCAGCAGTGAGGCGGGGAGACGCTAACTCTCAGGTGGCGGCACACTCGACGGGACCCGGCCATAATTTCAAATTTCAAGAGGCCGAAATCCTCGCAAGGGGTGACAACCGCGTGAGCCGCGAGCTGCTCGAGTCATGGTTCTCAGGCCCGCAATCCATCAACAAACACAATGACCTCCCGGTGGCCTATTCCGTATTGCGATTTTCCCTGGGCAGGAGAATCAGTCACGTGGGGAGGGCGCGGGTGGGCAATTATCACGGTGACAGTGAGCCAGTTTGCCGAGCAATCGTCACACCAGCATCGAGCACGGATGACGAAATCGCGGCAATTAACAACTCGGACTCGGACCGCCAAGCCACCGCCGCATCAATTACGATCCCAGCGGCGATTGTGAGAACTGTTAATTGCAGTGCGCATACGGTCCCACGGCAGCCACGTACTATAAATACTGCACTCCTGGTGCCACCTTCACCTCTATCTGCGAATGTCTCTGATGATGGGTTCGAGTGAGAATCCTAAACGTCAGGCAAATAAACTTCTTGTCCCAGTGATCGCATCTTCATCTTCATAATCACTACTACAACCGCGACCAAGTAATCCTTCCTAGTCGAAAACGCATTTCAGAATTTCCGCCAACATTTCATGAGATAGATCACTCACTGTAGATAGTGGGACCAGAGTCTGAAGAGTGAGAGAAAACGGTCGCATCTATTCTCTGCCTGACTGGTTTCCCTGTTTAGGCTTAAAAGAGCAAAGTGAGGAACAGCGACGGACCTTTACTCCGAAATTAGTGTGATACCAACAACTATCAGCAGTCCGCGGTCGCGAACGAGAAAGACGACGGCTGCGTGAGCGACTAGAAGTAAGGCGGGCGTGCTGTATTTTAGGGTAGGCCATCTCATCCGCCATGGCCGACACCTGTTTAATTAAATGTTCACTAACTGACGATGAGCATAAGGAGATCTGGGAAGCAAAAAGTGACTGGAATTGCTGCACCTCTATCATTCGATCTGCTATCTCAGCCAGCTGTAAGACCGTAAGATGTTGAGAGCCGGACGCCGGGATCGTTTGATCATGTGCGGGTAGACGCTCTAGGAACATATCCTTGACAAATTTATCGTCAACCTGCGTGTCTCTAAGAAGAGAACGCATCCGACGTAGAAGCTCTGAGGGCTTTCGCTCACCCATGTAGTTCTACTTAAGTGAATGGTGATGCCTTTGTCGGTCGAACACAGAATCAAGTTGGAGAATTTATGCCTTTAACGTGGAGACGGCAGCATTTGCAGGAGGATTTGATAGCAAGGAGTGAACTAGAGAGCGGACACTAGCGGGTAGACCCCCACACGTTTCTGGTATTTCGCCAGCCCCTTGGTAACGTTAGCAGAATAAAAGACTAATTCCATGCGGATGAATTATAGTTCTGGAGAGTGTTACCATAAATCAGGCAACGTAAAAGTGATGGCATGAATGGACTGGGCGGAGGCATCACTTTGTTTGTTGGAATGAGACATCATATGACAGAGAAGGTAATATATCAGGATTCGTGTAATAAGTAAACGGAAATAGAACGGATATTCACAGACAAATAGAACGTTAAATGTTATTCAGCATGACAGAAAGGTATAGAGTCTGCGTTAACGTCGGGAATCACCAATGACGTTTATGGTAATGTACTCACGAACTAACAACTTATATCACACGACGCCCTAGCCTTAAAAGCAGCAAGTAAAACTGAGCAGTGAATAATGTAAAGATTTTAAACGTTAAGAAAACTTGACAACAGGGCGAAGCAGTGCAGTGCGTCTCAACACGCCGAAAAAACGTTCTTACGCAACTGCGTTTGTGGCTATTTGTGAGGTTACTGTTGAAGTTCAGTATTTGCGTCGTGTTCGTCGTTTTTCGGAAAACTTTGATGTTTAGGCCACCGCAATCTTTGCGACAGACGACGACATCAAGGAATGTCAGCTGGTCATTTTCTTTCTCCTCCATCGTAAATTACATGTAGGGGAAGAGGCTGTTGAGGCGTTCTTTGAGCAGTGCAGAAGAAATTGCCTGAGACTGTTCTTGGATGAAGTGGTGGCTAACTTGTCCCTCGCGTGTCTCCTAAGCTCCCTCCCTCTCTCTCTTTAGAAAATTCTCTACATAAATTGCTCCATTTTTGAACACTCGTATGCAAAGACACGTCTATATTATTTTCTGTTTAAAAATTACACTTTGCACTACCCTACCTTATAGTTCGTTAAAGTTAATATCGACATTTACTATAGTAATCCAATTTGATCCAAAATTTATCACTTTGTTTGTTCGGGTGGGCAGCGTTTTTCCGCCGACTAACAACCTAGAAGCCACGCCTTCTGCGCATTCGCCCAGCCGCACTTGGTTGACATCCCTCGATCCCTCTAATCGATTTTACCTGGCAAATTATTTACATATGTGCGCGAAAATGAATGAAGCAATATATTTAGGCAACGTCCTTTGGTTATATCATTTCCAGACTTCGTTTGCGATTCTGCATGTGGAGAGTGATTTACTGACCAGTATTCTACTGAACAGGGCTTGCCTAAATTTGATATTTTAGTTTAATATTACATATCCCAATATGCTTTCTTATAGGTAAGCATGATCTAAAGACAGCACAAATGATAGTTCTCCACTTTGGTTGGAGATTTGTTTGTTTGATTGTTAAAATAGGCGGAGTTATTCGGCTGATATGCAGCACTTAAAATGGAAAACACGCCAGTTTTGACAAAACTCCCACCTATATTTTCATCCAGGTAAATGTCTGCATTAGTTGACTTCACGGATGCAAACCTCATGCGTATGCACTGTAAACGCACGCAACCATTGGTTTGAGTGAGCCGAAGTTGTCTTGTCGTTTTGAAAATTGTAATTTTCACATATGAATCCTTAATTCTACTGGGGTCAACATTTCGCACACGCATAATTTAGAAATAAAACGAGCATACTATTAATAATTTTATTAAAACCGAACATTTACATGGCCATTCTACCTTGCATTCATAGTCGGAAAACGCGGCCGCAATGGAGCAAATGTGGCATAAATTAACTCAGTGTAATGCGGCAAAAAATATCTGTATCATTCCAAAAAAACTGAAAGCAATGGTTAGAAGTGTCAATTTTGTTCAGTTTCACCATGTAAGAAAGTGAAATACAGTGACATCCGTCAAGGAAACGCAGTTTTAAGGCACTCGATAAAAAGGCCATTGAGTAAAGTTTTGTGATTAATGAAAAGTATATTTTTGTACAGTGTTTATTGTGAATGCAGCTTCTTGTGTGGCCTAAACTCTTATTCACAGGAAAATTATCTGCCGAACACTCGTTTCCTCGGTAAATTCCTTGACAATACATTTTTTAAGCTTTTAATAGCTTTAATTTTTAATTTTTAATGTTAGTGAATCTGCCTTCCTGCACTATAGGTCAAAAACCAGGTCAAATCAGGCGTTTGGCTAGCAGTTATGTCTGGATATATAGCTAAATATATAGAAGTGTATGCCAACCAGACACTGTTTCAAAGGATCAAAGTGATATAATTTCATTGCTGTCATGCACAAGGGAAATAGTAACTTGGTGCTCTGTTTGCGTATTTTTTGTGCTTCCGGTCCCAACTGCTGGTAAGTCGCCTAACGAGCAAAGTTTTCTTACAGTAAACAGTTCAATGAATCCCCTCCATCTAACGTTGTCAGTGACGAACTACTCATACGACTGTTCATTTTAACTCATTTTGTACAGTGCACGGCATCTCTTCTGGCTGAGTCACTTTCACTCCCTTTTATAGGCTCCCGTATTTAATCAGACATTCAGATTCTTAAACATCAGCTCGACTGTCTGCGTGCCAAGAAAAGCAGTCAAAAAAGCTCTGAATTCGATCGTAGTGGTTATGTCAGCCGTCTACGAATTGCAGTTTTTGATCGCATTCGGAGAACCTATGCCAAAGAAGTTTAGCGTGAACGAGCTTTCCGCATGACCATGGTCTTCTCCGTAGGACTACCCCGAAGCAGCGGGTGTCAGTACTTTCAGCGTGACGGTTTAAACATCTCACTGCCGGGCCGGGCGGGCGAGTCGCTGGAGAAGATGCGGTATGAAGGTCCGGAAGTTCTCAGAAAACTGGCAGAAGAAGCTCGAGTCAACGGTGACCTCCTACTGGGTGACTACGAGGACACCTACTATAACCTCAGTCTCAAGTTATTCCACAGCTTTCAATGGGCCTCTCGTTTCTGTCGTCCACATTTCACTTCCCAACAACGACCTCATGTCTTCATTCTTCTGAACGATGATTAAGCCTTCAATGCAACCATTTTGAAGACTGAACTGAAGGCATTCTCGGACACGCAAATTCAACGAGTGACCTGGGGCATGCTGCAGGTGTGGAGTCCAGTATATCGTCCTCTCGTGTCGCCAGGATTTGAAAAATGGATCCTGTCTAAACGTCAAATGCCCTGGCCCTACTTCGCGCCTTACGCCTCCAGCGCCTTTCTTGTCATCGGCGCCGACCTTCTTCAGGAAATTGCCCTTGTTAAGTACTTCACTCTACATTTTCCACTTGACGATACGACTTATTTTTAAGCTTTCAATAAACACATTTTAGTGGATCTGCCTTCCTGTACTATAGGTCAAAAACGTTGGCAGTCATGGAGTATGCAGGGATATCTCAAGGCCAACATAAAACTTACCGTAATCCAGAACAAACAAAATAGTCAAGTGCATTTCACGAAGAAAACATTCGAGTGATACGCACACAACTATATTTACGATCATTCCCGTCAACTGTAATTAAATTTATTAGCCGTTTGCTGCCATGACCACATAGGCCTTTGTGAACACAGGTAATCCTACGACGTTACTTTCGGCAACGTCAGGCAAAATCCAGTTTTCCATATTAAAATGTATCCCAATCAATTCAGAAGCTTAAAGAATACACCGAAGCTTTGGGAAACCGTTCTGGAGCCTATGCTCAAAATGCGGGTTGTAGGCAAAAATTACATCGATTCAGATATAGTATTCAAATGTGAGCCTAATTAAAGGTGACTTTCGGAGACTATATTATTTGTTCAGTTATATCTACTCATTGTTATTCATGGGCAGACTTTCTCTGCATACAAACTGCAGTTTACTAAAATTATAACCATTTTGACGTTTTTAGATTGTTTTGCTATTCTAACGAATTGGCATTTTTAAACAACATGAAATTACCTTCAATAATACCTTCCTTTGTCTTATTTCGCCTAAAGTTATTATTTATTATTGTAAGTTTGGGGTCTATGCGTTGCAGTCGGCTTGCAAGTGATTAATAATCATTCGTAAATGTGGGCACCTCTCATCATCTGGGCAACCTCCTGTATGCTGATTTGGCATGCTTAATTTGACCCTCTGCAGCTTCACTCATTCCCCTTCGCGCTCGATTTAATTGGTAATGTTAAGCATGGCGTTAGAAATTAGCACTGGCATTGGGCATCAACCATTGAATTATTGTTACGGAATGAGGTGTTGGCAAGCCAATGTCATCAAATTCTTTTGCCTTTTCAGTTACGGCCATCATGAGGGCCAGACAAAACGATGTTTTCATTAGATTTTCTAGTTCAGCCTGATTGTGGATCAAGGGTACGAGTGGGTTTGCCTGGAATACATAACCACTTCCCGTGTTAGAGATACCTCTGGGATACTATTCAGATAAACTGACCAAATTGAAACTAAGAGTTCAAAGCTAAATACCCTTATCTATCAAGCCCGCTCAACGACTACAAGCCATCTCATACATGCTTCAATCCGGAACTGATATAATAGCACAAATGCCACTTTACACATATAGTTGGCTTAAAGGCAAATGTATATCATATAAATAGAATAAACTAGGATCTACAAGTAAACGTTACTTGCAGTCATTTTGAAGTAAGGAGGTAGTCTAGGGGTGCAAACAGAACCGAATTCTTTCTAACACCCCTAGGCCATTTGTTGTACATGCGCGGATGAAATTGAAATTGGAGATCTAACTTTGTCATGACCATGCCTAACCAGGCATCGTCTAGTGGAAACTGCAGGGTGAAATACATGGCCAGAGCAATTTCCTGGAGAACATCAGCGCCAATGACGGTAAAACAGCCGGGGGCTAAATGCGGGTAGTAAGGCCAGGGCATCTCACGTTTGGAGACGGACCACTTTTCCCAGCGCTTTGAGTCCGAATGCCGAACTGCTGGTGAGTGATTACGCGGCAAGCCCCAAATCACTCGTCGTATCTGCGCGTCCGTGAGGGCCCCCAATTCGACCTTCATACGCCTTGCATTGAAAGCAAAGTCATCATCTAGGAAGATTAAGACAGGAGGTCGTTGTTGGGAGGTGAAATGCGGCCGACAGAAGCAAGAGGCCCATTGGTATGTGTGGAATAATTTGAGGCTGAGGTTATAGTAGGTGTCCTCGTAGTCACCCACTACAAGGTCACCGTTGATTCTAGCTTCTTCTGTCAGATTTCTCAGAACTTCTGTCCTCTTCGTTTGCATCTCCTCCATGGCCTCACCTGCCCGATCTGGCAGTGAGATGTTAAAGCCGTCACGTTGGAAGAACCGACCTCCGCTGCTGCGGGGTAGTCCCACGGAGAAGACCATAGCCATGCGGAATTCAGGCTCACGCTGTTTTTCCTTACCAAAAGCACTCCGTAAACGATTACGATCTGCAAAATTGTAGACAGCAGACTTGACGATCACAATAGCATCCAGATTCCTATCGACTGGTTTTCCCGGCACGCAGACAGTTGAGCTGACTTTCAGGAATCTGATTGTCTGATTGAATATTGGTGCCTGTAACGAAGGAGGAGGCGATTCAGCTAAATGATTGGTTATTCGCTCGTACTACTTGATTTGTAACAAATAGTCGCAGGCATTACGTCTACGTTAAATAGTGAAGTTATTTATGGCTGGCCGATTGTGGCCAATCAGTCAGAAATTGTCATTATGTTGCCCCATATCCTCATGGATATCGTTTGTCTGCAAATGGTGATTGAGCCTGAATTCTAAGTATGACTTTCTGGCTTCGACAGACGTCCCAATGATGTTAAATGGCTCGTAGAGCACATTATTTATCGTTCAGCTTCGTGATATCAATCCCAGTAGTCTATTTCAAAATGGGATTCGCCGTACTTGCCACAAGTTTTTTTTGTTGGAATAACCAGTCTAGTCTAGTTCTACATGTTATCTGCTGATTTCCTAACACTTGATTTCATGCACCTTTTTCCCAGCTCCGCTTCATCTCCAAGTGTGTAAAAAAAACTTGAGAACCTCTGCTGTCTGATGGGGATAAACAGCAAAAAATTGGGATGTTGGAATCGGTTACTTATTCGGTGCGTTTGCGCTGTCAGGTTTCGTTGACCGAAACACTCAGTCAGTGGCAAGCAGTGAACTCACACGAAGCATGCATTAACCGACATATCGGTCTGGATGCCACATACAAAATCGTTAAAGACAAATTCAAAGCGGCCCAATCAATCCAGAGAGGATGACAAATTGCAATTAACCCACATTGGCTCGGATTTAAGACAATCATGTAGTCATTGGCCACAATCAGGTTAGAAGCTAATTGCTTTTTCACTTCCATAGTTTGAATACGAGCTGGAGAACCAGTCTCGAAAATTAATAAAGTAACGTTTCTGTTTACCAAAGAACTCCATCCTTCTTAGTCAATTTCTCGGGATGCCAGTTTTTCGATTAATATAGAGAAGATGGGTTAACTCATGAAATGAGTTAACCAACCTACTGTGTATTTTCGCCTGGGAACATTAATTTTGCTATCTGCGTTCCACCGTTCCCTTTAAAATTAGACTGAACCAAAGGAAACAAATGTATCAACGTTTCCGCACATGTCTACATCAGGTAGGTTCCCGTGTCACAGGAGATTCTTAAATGTAAAGACTATTTGCAATTGTGAAAACCAAGTCAAATGTAAAAAACCACCCCATTGCCTGATGCACGGTCGATTGTGCTGATTTTCAAATTATTGTCCAAAGCCACGGGCTGCCAATTTATCGATAGACATTCCAGGTTACTCTGACTTCATTTCCGGCTGGCCGTCTTTATATGATATTAGTATATGATATATCGAAATCAAAATATGCGCTTATTTTAAGAAGGCCAGTTTTTTTTAAAAAAATGCCGCCTTATCTTCATTCTATTAATACTCCTTCATTTTAAGGACGAAAGTGGGAATTCGATACTAATTTATCTGACTCTACCATCCCACGATAGAATTCGGAGCATTTCCTCCAAAGGAGTAAGCTAACTCGATGTCGCATTTCTAACTGAAAGGCGGCATCACTGCTTAATACGTCATAAAACTCATGGTGTTGGACCTTTGCTGGACATATATCCAACCGCATATATCTGCCAAACATTCAATTAAGCGTTGATTAATTGGTCAATTAATCAGACATTTAATTAAGTTAGATCGTTTGCGTATAATGCTATTGTTAACCCAATCTATATCTTTCCTTCTACGTGGACAACGCTGAGGCTTATTTCGTTTTAGTTTGTGAATCTGAATGAAAATCATTCACTTTACGAAATTCTCTCCATTTAACAACCATCAATCCCCCGCGCCAAACGTTTCAAAACCGGCATTTAATAACTCTTCAACGTCAAACGGCTTTGCACCTTTGAATCACTAACAGGAAACCATCTTATGACCATCGTGCGGCGCGCAACCAACTCTACAGACAGCATGAGGAATCCAGGTAAAGTTACAAAATATCAACACTTCCGATAACGTCTTAAAAACACTCCTACGTAGGATTAATATAAGGTCAGGTTAAACCGTTAATGTAGCTGTGATTTAAAAGAAGACGTAGCTTAAAAATCAACGTCCACATGCATCAGGTAACAATGAAAAAAATACGTCTAAGATATATAATGGTTTTTACCAGTGAAATTCATGCGGCCTGGTAAACTCGCATCAGAATATTTAGTTACGGGCACCCACATATACATAATCGTATGATCCGAATATGTTTGAATGCAACTTGCGTTCAAATAAAACTTGAATAAGAGTTAGGGCGTAGACTAAACGCCTCATACGACATATATTACAAAACGACAAGTACCTCTGTTATGGGACGGTAGTTCGTTATATTTGCCACCACCTGTTTAATGTCCAGCGCCTGTGGGTAGAGCATGAAAACCGAACGGGGAATTGGGACTCTCCAGTTTTTATCCTCTATCTCCGCCATCTCCGCAAATGTATAGGTTTGTTGGCGTGGAAGACGCGGATGGATGTGTCGACTAGGGATCCGCCGGTTGGAACTTCTGCCGATGCCGCGGCCACCATTAGCAACGTCCACCACGAGTGACAACTCAAAACTGTTGGTCTTAGGCGAGTAAACAAGGTGTTGCCAATCGGACTTTCCAGTAATTGTATTTCTGATCATCCGAGGCTCCATGTAGGCGAAAGTCCGCCGTTTTTCATGAAATATATAATAGAGGATACCTATCGTCATGATGAAGTAGACTATATGTCTATTTGGGCGCGGAGCGTACTGGAGCATCTTGTTTGACCTACTGGCTATTCACGACTCACTAACAGCTCCGCGAAAATTTTATAGCATGTTTGCTGCGGTACCGCTTGCACTCTGTGTGTCATTCGGTGCGACATTTAAACCCACTAATCAGCCGTTATGCACGCGTAAAGTGCGGCACAGATTTGACAAATCATTCAGACGTGGAGCTGCTATTCATATGCCGATTATCATGTGCATTGTAGATGTGCATTCAGACGTCTTTTAGTGCCATTCCATTAGAGATAAAATATTACCATTACGGTTTTTAGGGGTATACGAATGACTTAAATGAATACGTAGAAAATCTTCGCCAGAGGGTTACAACCCTCCAGAGTCCCTTAATCCAGACGCGTTTAATGTGTTTCCGTATCCCCTAAAGCAGGTTCTGGAAGAATGAAAACAAAGATTATGAATAAATTTTTCAAATACAGACAACAAATAATGCCCCTATCGCCCCTCTCATGCGGGTAATTTTTGAGCACTTATTTGCTTTGTTTTTAGCAAAGAAATTTAAAGTGATATTCTGTACAGTCTAGAATTTTACCTTGTGCCTCCAATAAGGTGCTAGAACCCATAATGAGGGACCCCAAATCTACTTAAAATCGATCAAACTGCCGGTTCGCATTCTTACTTCGTCTAAATATCTGTAGGAGGATGAAAATGGTGCAGAATCTTTACAAAACTTCGTTCCATACACGCTCACAAATTGATTGTACATCTTTAAGTGGTTGCGCGAACGTACTTAAAGGTGAAAGAAGACATACATTATTTGGGCTAAATCATGATATCTCAAAAGCATTTCCAAAATGCGTTTTCCTTTCGAACAGATTAATTAACTAGGGTTGTAAAAATTATCACCATGCCTAGGCGAAGTCTCAGCACCCAGTATGGAAGGGTTAGATCATTGCACTTGTTAATGGACTGGGGGCCAGTAAACCATGATTCAAGCAGCTCCCGGCTGACGCGGTTGTCACCTCTTGCGAGAATTTCAGCCTCGTCCAATTTGAATGCGTGGCCGAATCTCACCTAATGAGCCGTAACTTGACAGCTAGCGTCATTTCTGCGCACCGGTGCAGCGTGTTCGGCCATTCTCGTTCGGAGCTGTCTTCCGGTTTCTCCGACGTATTTGCTTTGTCCGCATCTACACCAGATCCGATAAAGGACTCCAGGCATTTCTTGCCGTGTAGTTGGTCTTTCGGTTTCATTAACGTACGCCTGATGGTTGCCTCCAGTCTGTGTGCAACTCCAACCCTAAGTGGTGCGAGAAGGCGGCCAACAGCTTCCGAAACTTTCTTGACATATGGAAGCGCTCGCCAAACGTTGGTGTCCGTGCTGTTAGGCCTTTCGTCCCTGTTGGTTTGCAGCGGATGACGAAGTTGTGAGGGTAGACATTGTCTTTGAAGACCCGTTGGAGTTATTTTAGTTCGGCAATCTTGTCTTCCCATTCACTGCAGTGCGTTTTGACACGTCGATAAAGCGTCCTTACACAACTGCGTTTGTGGCTAATGGGATGGTAGCTGTTGAAGTTTAGTGCGTGAATCGTATTTGTCACTTTCGTGAACATTTTGGTCTTTAGTCCACTGTAATCTTTTCGGCATACTAGAACATCTCGGAAGTTCAACTGCTTGTTCCTTTCCTCCTCCGTCGTAAATTGAATGTCCGGGAAAACGGCGTTGAGATGCTCTTTCAGTCAGGAACTTGAGACTACGGAACAGCCACTTAGCCAGTCCGTGCGTTTGAGTCCCTTTGAGTGACACAATCCTGATGAAGAGGGAAAGACGTGAATCTCCATAGGTTTGCGGCAACATGGCGACTGCATGCGATGTACACTGCAGACCCTTGTGCATGAACCACCCGTAATCGCTATACATGGAATCTGACGGCTGGTTACCAGCTAAGCGCTTGCTTTTAGTAAGTGCTCATCAGCATAGTGCATTCATTTGGCAAAGTAAACAATCAACAATGTGTGGCCAATGAGTTAAATGGAATAGTGTCCGCCTTTTCCCAAAAGGGATGTATGGGGTATATGAAGGATACTTAAGGACAGTCAGTATCATTATAGTCGAGATACGGTGGTTGGTGTGGATGAGAGTTTGAGGAAGAACCGCGGCGTTGCGGGGGAATGAAGACATGCATTTAGCAATTTCACCGACGATTGTGGGGCCTGCATGTCCTAGCATGAAAGTTGGCCAAAATACATCATTCGATGTGCGCATTAATTGCCCGTGTTTGATGAACTTGTCGAACCCCAATTTAACCTCGCCGCGCCTTCGCTGAGGAGTTAGTAAAAACGTAAAGCAGGGTTGCACGCAGTGAGCAATGATCGCTGGCGGTAATTGTGGGCGCGCGATTAAGCTACGCACCTGCGAAACAGCAAGACCTCTGTCCGAAAAACCGTGTTCATTATGTCCTTCCCTCCTCCGGGAGATATCTAGACTCAAGGCAGAATTAGACACCATACAGCCGAGAGTGCATGGCGGCACATTTTTGTCGAACATGTTAATCTCGATGAATGCACCGTGTCTCACTCAACGCTGAGGATAAGGGTTAGATTTAACGATATAACGACTTAAACCCAGGTATAACCGAGAACTCCACATTAACCGTAGCTCACAGAGATTGGCAAATTACACCAACTGCCTACATGCTTAAGGTGGTAACGAAACCATTTTGAAAGTCAGTTGGCATAAGTGCTGGTACCGCCTTTACCCAAATTCAGTTTTGGCGTATGATTTCTAGTCCAACTCATTATTTCATACTCCATCAAGTGACAGTTCTCGTGACAGTTCTCGTGACATGTTGGCGGAAATTCTCAAAGGTTTTTTTCGATACGGAAGGGCTACTTATTTGGTGTTATTATATCTTGTGGCACAATGCCGTGATATTTCGAACAGAGCAGGATATTGGCCTTTTTTTGAGCCTTCTCCGGCCGTCTGATGCAGGCACAGTTGTTCAAAAATGACCATATCATTTGTGCACATGCTATTCAAAGATATTGGATGCACGTGCAAATTTAAAAGTATTTTGCATAAAATATCTACAAAATGTTATTTCTCGTTCTGATTTGACTGTGGGTCACATCGTCTTCAAATCCTTTTCTCAAAGACAGGGTAACATTCAGCTCAATAAAAGTTTTAAAATATGATATTTTTTAAGACTGTGCAATGTCGACTAGAGCACCATCGTATCTGCATTTTAAATAATGTTACACATTAAGTAGGCACATAGTTCACGTTCCTTGCAGTAGCTCGTGAGCCCTATAAGGCATTTGCATAATGGCATAACGGAATGCATGTTTTCTGTTATATGTAGAGTATACAGCTTGTAGACTGAAAACATTTGACGGTCATAGGTCATTAGCTGGACCATGATACCGGCGCCTGAACATATAACAGAGTTATGTGTCTAATTTACAGCTGCCTTTGCTTGCGCCAAGCAATGATTAATCTGTCAAACACCGCTTCCGACCGTATCGTCGCGTTGGGCTTTTAGACAGAACAATGTGTACAATTGACATGCTAACTACGATTTCGCTGAAATACAAAATAAGCGTTTGATTCTGAAGGATTGCTTAGGTAAGCCCATTATATTACTCGTCAATGCAGCAGTATCTTTAAACATTTCAGTTACGCCGAGAGGCAGACCTTTGAATGAGCTTCTTTTTGCCAAATGCGTAATCTTCTGTCAGGGAAAAGTGCCTAATGTGGGTATATATTTTCTTACTGATTTTTTGATTTCTTCATAAATATAAGTATATTATCGCGCACAAAAATGCTCTTAGTTCTACTTAATCAATAGCAAAATGTGCTTTTTTATTTGATGCCTGGAGATTCAGTATTTAGACCTTCAAAATTGTTTTCAAGTTTCGAATACATTTTTGTCCCACCTGCCATTACCCATAAATTCAGGGCTTACAAACTGCATGCCGTACACAATCCAAAATGAAATATCACGAATCGCTCTGTGTATTTATGAAGAAACCTCATAGAATTCATACAATGAATGTAGGCCAGTTTGCATCCTTCACAAACAGCATCGTAAACAAGCTGATACGATGTTGTATTGATCAAAATTTCAGGGTTTTAGAAAATCCAAAAATTAGGAACAATTTAAACCAAAAACATACGCTTTCCTCAAGATAAAGATTAGGAGAAAATGCAATTTGTCGCTAAAAGAGTAAGAGAGAGAATATTTTAATCCATGTTGTATGCATCGTATGTTTCAATTTAAAGGCAAATCAAAAATCAACAGAGGCAATTTATGCCAAATAAGCAGCCGACTTGACAGAATTCAGATATTGCAGATGGGCCGGAGAAAGACACTTTAAATGCCAGAATCCCGACGTGACTAAAAATTTAGGATTAAGCTGCATAATGCTTAAAATAACAACGCTACCTAAGTAACCTTTGCACTTCAAACGCATATTTCTTAATTTCCTTAAACATTTCCTTGAAAAGCACATCCACTGCAATATTCAAGGTATATGTCCTGATCGTGAAATCAAGAAAATTCTCGTCTATTTGCTGCCCTTGACAAGCCTTTATGGGCTACTTGTATCTGTGAGAAATGTTATCACCGCTTGACCGTCCTGGCGTCGAAAAAAAACGGAGAGATCACTTCGCAGTCCACTCTTTTGCAAAGAGACATATTCTGAGGTCATCCTACACTTTGAGAGCAGTTATCCCGTCTCATACAAGAGGAGTTCTAGCTACAGCCTGTAAAATCGAGCCAAAACACACTGTTCTGATGAATAAAGCTATCAGGAAGAAAGGAAATACCTTTCCAAGATGTTTTCTTACAACAGGTACCCGCGTGATTTTGTGCGTCACGCATTGAAACATGAGTTAAAAAGAGGAGGTATTTCGAACATGACGGCCAATCAG